TGCAGAGTGGATGGCACCCCCGCTTCGGTAGCCCGACGACCTGCACGCAAAGTCGAGCACTTTACAGTAGAACAGTTTAACGAGGACCAATACCGCACAACCTCGATCCCTACCTAGACTAATCCAGGTGGTCACCCACCCGCACAGTGACTGCAGCCAGTGATGCCTAACTTCGGTGACCTGCTGGGAACCGTGTCTTAACGATCAGTCCCCTGCGGGACAATTGGCGGAAGAATCACATGCCTGATTTAATTTTTAGAAAGGCATTCATTTTTGTAGCTTTTTAAGATTTTTGCTAAAGTTTAAAATAAAAGTTTCGCTTATAATCAAATTAAATATGTAATAAAGCCATCCAATATATGCGCTGTTGCAATATGTAAAAACTGTTACTAAAAAACTCAAGGAAAATAAATTAGTCATTGTGTTCTGAAACAGGAATCGTTATCAAAACTTATGAAAGAGAAAAGTAAAAGGGAAGATCCATTTAATTCTAGAGCATCTCACATTTACCCACAATGCTAAAATTAAATTTCTAAAACTTACTTGCCAAGAAAATAGTCACAAAAGAAAAGAAAAATACATTAGATCGTAGCATAAATTCCTCGATACAGTTTTTTTTCCATAAAACAAAGACAAAAAAAATTCAGTCATAATTCAAAATTTTTTTAATACTTTTATTAAGTTGTTTTTTTCTATTCTAATTCCATATGAATAATCAATGTGCCACAGCGAATGATGAATGAAATCCCTTTGAGTTGCTTGTAATTATATAAGTACTACTATTTTTATTTGATAGTTATTTAATATAAGGTGGTTTTAATTTTCAATGCTAAATTTTTTGAAAATACATTCTTAATATCAATTTCACCAACTGAACAATTATTTAATTATTGTAATATTTTTCTCATGCCTCACAATTTGTACGATATGTAGCATAATTTTCTTTTAAATATGTTTCTATTTGCTTCAACGTACAATGCTTAATTTGTATTATGGAATGAATGCTTAATAACACCAATGCCAAATGCCTAATTTGAGTACTGAAAAGAAATTTTATTTTAAAATAAGTTTTGAGAATTATAAATCAACAGCCTACTCATACATTTCCTCTGTCCATTGTAAAGAATGACATTGGTTTAAGCAAAAGTAAGAAATAATATATAAATGATATCATTATTTTAACTAAATGTTATATTATACTAAAATTTCTACGAAGTAAAAGTTAAAGCAAAATAATTGTATGATTTTTACATGATTTTGTCTCAAAATTTTTCGAATGTACTGATTTTTCATGAATATGAATTTTAATAATATTTAAATTATACAAATAGTTTTTTTNAAGGACTTTCCAGGACTTTTCAAGGACCTCAACAAAATTTTCAAGGACCTTAATCTAAGACCAATTTTAAAAATTATTCTCTTCTATTTTACTAGAAGCAACAATGCTTGTTGTGGCAATAATTAATTTCAAATATAATACCTAAATGCTTTGCCTACATATAGAGAAGAGAGTATATGGACTAAAATTTATATTTTTTTAAAAACAACCCTACTGGTTTTACATATTAATTCACAAAATCATTTTCAGCACAATCTATAACTAATGGTAATGAGGTGTTAATGGTGAAATCCTTTAACCCTGTGTATTTCCATGTGAAGGCTGCATGAAAGACAGAGCTAAATCTTAGGTATTCCATATTCCATGAGTACCTATAAACCTTACTTACAGAGCGATTACCCACGCCACACTGTCACAGAAGGTAAGCCACATTTACACAACAGAGAGCAGCATAGAAAGAAGCATCCATGCCATAAGTGGGATTTAAACCTGCAACCAATGGCAATCATTCGCCACCTGGCTAGTGTGTTTAAAAGATAGAGGGACAACTTACAGCATAGTTTGTTATTAAATACTAGTTAAATATTATTTATTCTGTATTTTAAAATACTTAATTAAAGCAGCTCAGTAGATACAAGGGTGATTGTGAGCACAACTCAAATATCCTGAAAATTTCTTGAGTAAATTCATTAAGGACGCATTTCAAAAAATTTATGTCTTCATGAATTTAAATCATTGATATTTTCAAAACATGAATTTCTAACTAAATTATGTGCAACATAATTTCAATGAATAATTATGTATAAGTTTACTTTTATCTCTAATCACATTTATTATTCTACCAGAAAAAATATTTACAAATGAATGAGATGCCAAGTACAAAATCAAGTTATAATATTTTTAAATAAAATATTCCAGAATTTTAATACATAAATGCGATTGATGATTTCTTGAAACTTTTGGATCTTGGATTTCTGGACCACGGTTAGCGAAAAATCCGGATTTTTGCCAGAGCACAATCATTTCTGTTTATAAAAATAAATTTACTGAGTTAAAGACCATTTAACTTAATTTGAAGTGAAAACAACAGTCAGTTTTTAGTGATTCAAAGAATATTTGTTACTATGAAGTACAGAACAAAGCATACATAAAAATAAAAAAATTATGAGATTTTCAATTTGTTTTCTAATTATATTTATCTGTATACTTTTTCCTTCTAATTATATTTATCTTTATACTTTTCGTCAATAACAGGTACTGAAGATGAGTGGCGTGACTCAGTTCTTTTACGGATGGTCGTACATTCTAGCCTGGATTGGCGTGGGCATGTGCCTTCTTACTGCCATTCTTTTCCTTGGAGCAGCATGCTGTGTCGTACACGAGAAAAAAATGGAACAAGCCAAGAACATGCAATACCTCATGCCAGTATATCCCGACAAACGCCAACCTTATGGATATGGATATGCTTATCCGGGACCATATTACACGCATGGTTCACAATATGGTGGCCCTTACAGCTATTAAGAATAGATACTTATAAGAACTTTTGAATTAATGAAGTGNTTCTAACCAGATACTATTCATATTTATCTTAACAAAATAACATTAATAAAAACCAAAATATGATATTGTATTTAAATAATTTACAGCAGCTTTCAAGGAGTTCCAACAAATCGAAAATACAGCAATGAAATACCTATCAAACGTGTGGGGTAACTGATAGGAGAAATTTCCTCCAAAAGAGACACATAACAACCTTGTAAGTCTAATAACCTTGATTTCAGTTTATTTTTTAAATCTTTTGTCATTTTATGTGGGATCTGTGTAAAACAAGATATTTAACAGAACCTGAAAGTATAAATAAATGATATTAATTATTTAAAAACGATTTTTAAAGCTTTACAGTGTTCCCTTTATTTTTGAACAGGCTGTACCAATGTGCTGATTAAATATTATTTGGAAAACATAATAGTATTTTCATAACATTCCTTATCTATTTATGAAAAGGAAGAAAAATAAAGATTAGCAGATAATTGACAAAAGAGGATTTTTGATCTAATAGGATGTTTATTGAATTTGTTATTCATCTACCACATTAATTTGCCATGTATTCTCCATATTAGTTTTACACACACTCAATTACAGCTTTAGACACAGCAGAATGATCTCTTTGTCGAAACAGCCTTTTTCTAAACACAAAAAAATAATAATATTTTTTTTAAATATATAAAATAGTTTTATAATATACTAAATAGTTATAGTTTTAAAAAATTTTTAAATGTTTTTTTTTGTACTTACAACATTAGTAAAATAATAAAAACAGTATGCATTCCGATGCCATTTTACATAGGATTGATTTAAAACGAGATATTTAACAAAACCATTTTAAAAGCCTTACATTGTTCGCTTTCTTTTAGAACATGCTGCACCTATGTACTGATTAAATATTATTTAGCAAACACAATTGTATTTTCATAACATTCATTATTTATTTGTGAAAAGGAAGAAAAATAAAGATGATTAGATCATCGACAAAAATGATGATTTTTAAGAAAGGAGTCTAATAAGATGTTTATTTATTTTGTTATTTATTTAACACATTCAATTACAGCTTTAAATTGTCCCTTTGTGGAAACAACATTTTTCTAAACACAGCTTTTTTTAATATATAAGATAGTTTTATAATATATAAAATAGTTTTAAATATATAAAACAGTTTTAAATACATAAAACAGTTTAATATATTTAATTTATTATATTTAATTATTTTATAAAAGTTTTTTTAAAAGTTTTTTAAAAAAAAAATAGTTTTAAAAATAATTTTTTTTTGTACTTACAACATTCCTAAAATAATAAAAACAGCAAGCATTCCAAGCTTATATAGCAGAAAACCTTAACATTAACTTATACATATTTAAAACTTAAGCAGTGACTAGATTACTGAAACAAAATGAATGATTAATGATCACAGCAAATTGAACAATAATCAAATTAACAAAATACATTAACATAATAGATAAACAAGTCAAATCAAAAAACTTTTTTTTAAACCCTAAAATTAGAAAATTTGTAATATTAGCAAAAAATATACTTATAGTCAAAATCAGACCAAAAAAAAAGATAAAGAAATAACAGTGGTTTACTCATCGAAATCAACAAAATAGTATAAAATAAAAACAATTATATAACAGTAGGATAAATAAAATATAAAATTACTAACAGTATTAATCGGTAATAAGTATAATCAGTATAAAATTACAGATATAACAGTAAGATAAATAAAATATATAATAAAAAAAAAAACTTAAGATTATGAATATAAAATGGTATTTCTTTGATATGAAAAATCTAGAGGAAGTATGTTTATCAGAGTGCGTAGCCAGATTTTTTAACAAAACATAAACAACTTTTAAATACTTTTTAAGCACTCAAAATATGTTTGTAATTCCTTTCCAAAAAATAAAATCATAATTAGAATCTATGCAGTAATAAAAAATGAAAAATTCTACTGCTTAAAGTTCTCAATTTATAAACATAAAATCAATAAAATTCAAAAACATTTTCAAAAACCGTACATAATCATGATAAAATAATTATTTTCTGATAAATATTACAGAGAAAATTGCATTGCAAAAAATCATGCATTTTTTGTAATTTAGAATGACAATCGACATAGCAAAGGAACAAATTTCTATTTAAAAGATAGAAAATTAAGCACTTTTTACAAACCCCGAATTAAATAAGCACCTTTAAGGACTATTAAAAAAACGTATATCAAAATTAAGTATCTTTAGGCACTTTTTAAAAACGCTATGCGTCCTTTGTGTGAACATCAACTTTGGAAAATAGAGCAAAAACTATTTTTTTAATGTTTTAGCAGCACAGCATATTATTAAAACCAATAACCTTATTTTCAAATTCACCCTTCTTTAACTAAGTTCTTCAACTCGTACGAAGTTATTATAAAATTTAACAAGTGTAGTTAAAAGTTGATTTGTCCTTGAATCACAACTACAGCATTGCCACTGATAAGGACTCTGTCATCAACAAGCTTCATATTTAGGTCACCACCCCGAGCAGAACACTGTCGAGCTATAGAAAAAAAAACATTTAAGTGAATCTTCTTGATAACTTTGTTATGTCAAAAAAAATTGCTTTCTTAGCATTTTCATAGATTAAAACATAGATAAGGGAAAAATCCATTACATTTTACAGAATAATATAAATTTAATGATAATTGCTGCACTAAATATTTTACACGTAGAGAATTTTAAGAATTTTTATAGTCAAAGTAGTAAAAAATAACTGCAATAATTTCCAAATATGATTGACATTAAATGAGCTTGAAATATTATGTAACATGTTTACTCAAAATTTTAAATAAACAATTCCTCAAAGATAGTTAAAAGATTTTTTTTTATTTAATTTAAAAAGAGAGTTCTAAATAAAAAAATAAACTGAACATTTTATAACAAAAAAACTGATTTCTATAAATGAGGTTCGCTTCATTATGTATTAGTAATACTCATTTAAATATCCAAGCAATAATCTGTACAAAAATTCTATTTCAGTATGAATTTTCTTATGAAACTTACTAAATTTTACGGATTTTTTTCTAAAATATACAAAATCCAGGACGATTTTAATTAAACCAGTAGAAACTGGCAAAATCCAGTAGAGTAGGCAGCTATGCATTATATATCCATCTAATGTTAATTTGAATTTTTACATCGAAGAGCTTCTTCTAAAACCTTGTTATCTTGAATTTCTTTCGAAATAAAAAATGAATTTTTTCGTACAAATCACAAGATAAATTTATTAGCAAACCAATTATTTTCTATTTACTGCATAATTACCTTTGTCTTACAGTTAAAAATAAAATTATGATAGTTGTAGTTAATTTACGTCGCACTAGAGCTGCACAATGGGCTATTCGCGACGGTCAGGGAAACATCCCTGAGGATGATCCGAAGGCATGCCATCACAATTTTGATCCTCTGCAGAGGGGATGGCACCCCCGCTTCGGTAGCCCGACGACCTGCTAAGCACTTTACGGTAGAACAGTTTAACGAGGACCAATAACGCACACTCTCGGTCCCTACGCAGACTGATCCAAGTGGTGACCCACCCGCACACTGACCGCAGCTTTGACTTTGGTTATCTGCTGGGAACCGTGTCTTAACGATCAGTCCTCTGCGGGACAATAAAATTATGATTGTTGTATTCTTACTTATGGTCAACTATCATTACATACATATTTTATGGTAGTTATTCTTCTGTTTCGTGACTGTGCTTTTTAAAGTACAATCTTAGAATATATTTTTCTACTTTTTAGAACATATTTAGTTTTGAATTTGTTATCTCGAAAATCTTTTACTGGCCATTCACATCGAGAGTATACTGCATATATATTTTACGCTAAAAAAATTTGATTTACAGTTAAAAAAAATAATGTAAATACTTGCGAACAACTGCTAACCCTACAAGGTTTGTACCACGTCAAGAAAAGACAAATTCTTGACATCAAAACAAATTTTCATGACCTAATTTTCACAAAAATTTGCTTAAATTTTTATAATAGAAATTATTCAATATGCGTAAATGTTATTGAAAGTATTTTACATTCATGTTATTATTAAAGTATAAAAAACAGTAGACATTTTTCGATCTATCATCAACCAAATGTACTGATATTTTATTAGGTGAAATGCTTTTCTGAAGCATTACACATTATTCAAGTAGACATATGAAATAATACTGTGTTAATTATTATTTTTTCAAATATAATTATTTTTTTATGCAAATTGATATTCCGCACAAGAATAATTCGGCATTAAAAATTCAAGTAAGTTCAAAAATATATTATGTAACAATTTTAAATTATGTTAAAAAAAATACTTTCTCATAATAAAAATATGTCATGCAAAGATATAAATATGTCATGTAATTACATTATGTACTAGTAATATTTATTTAAATATTCAAGCAAGCAATAAATTGTGTAAAAATACTACTTAGAGATTTATTTATTTTTAGAAAACGTAATAAATTTTAGGGAATTTTGTTAAATGTACAAAAACCAGGAGAATGTTTATTTAACCAGAAGACCAGGAGAGACAGGCGAAATTCAGTAGTCAACTGGTAAATCCAGTATTGTTGGTAGCTATGTATAATGTTGTGACTTTGGTCAAAAAAATCATGATTTTTCGGGATCTTTATCAAATTCATGACTTATCTGATTTACGAGACAGGGGTAGCTGCGGTACAGGTACTACCAATGCTATAATATAATGTCACAGAAAACTAAAAAAAAAATTATTTTTGAAATGCGTAGAATAACTTTATGCATCTAGAAATAAAATTAAAAAAAAATCACCTATATAAATATCTCAATTTGGAAATTTTTGTGGCTTACATTGATTTTTCTGTAGCACAGCAATATTGTAATTCATCATGATTACTTTTTCTGGAGAATAAATATTAATTTTAAAACTAATTCTACATTTAGTTACGAACACCGGGAATGATAATAATGCCCTCCGTGGAAAAATTTCGTCCGTTGCTTGGCAAATTTTGATATTTATTTCACTTTTAGAAGTCTCAAATAAAACTAGAATTCATGGGTGTCATTGACAGGAGACAGACTATGGGTATATGCGCCAAAACTAGATATATTTCAAAGCATGTCACAAAACAAAATATAATATTTCATGGAGAAAAAAAAACATTTCAGTAAAATTGGAGAACATCTTCCTTCTCCAAAAATATCAACACATGCATTGAATAGAATGTTCCGATATAAAATTAATTCAAAAGCCGTATGAAAAAAAAAACTTATTGTAGGGGTGCCTAATTTTTTTGAATGAAGGGCCATTTGTACAGCAGGTAGATCAGCGAAGGCCCGCACACATATTTAGTCCTGTTAGTGGCAAATATGATGATTTTTATGTAAACATTATGAAGCACTAAATATTTTTTCAGTAAACTTAATAACATATTTGCAGAAAATTAAATAATTTTGATTATTTGAATTTATTGAAAACTAAAANTATATGCATTTTATAGAGTAATATAGATTTGAATTAAATATTTTAATTAAAGGAAATTCATAATGTTTAAACGAAAGTTAAATTGAAAGAATTTTTTTAAATTGAGTTCAGAAGCTCCCGCGGTCCACACATCACCAGTCAGAGTGCCGTAGGTTGTGCATCCTTATAATTAGGCTAAAAATAAAAGAATTCAAAATAAAAACATTTTACATACCATAAAAAGAATTCTGTTGAAGAGTTTTAGACCAATATGGTGCAAGCACTGAATGAGCCGAGCCTGAAAAATAATTTAATTTTAATAAAAAGTCAAAACATATGACTAAAACATGAAAATATGATTTAAATTTTTTTTATTTTTAACAAAAAGAAGTAGAGTTAAAGAATTCAAATTAATTTGATCTCGAGACAACACTGTTTCCAATTACAAAATGAAAAAAGGTAAAAATTTTTAACATTCAAAGTTACTGTCAATAATTTAAGATTAACAAAAAGATATCTTTAATTGAAAAAATCACAACCAGGGCTCAAAATTAATGATGGTTCGTGATCCCTAAAATTTGAATCAGACCATCATAAAATAAATAATCCATGGCCTCCTTGACCAGCAATCAATGTTAACAAATGGCTGTTTTGGTTCAATCCATGATTTTTAGTCACAAAATAGCAGATTTTTTTCATAATTGAGAATGAAGCTCCAATTGACGATTCCATATTATACTATAATCCTTGTCCATAATCTATTCTCCACTTATTTTGTATTCATAATCTATTATCCATTTATTCTCCATATTCTATGCTTTTATATTCTCTGCATTTATAACATTTCATTTTAAAATTCCAGCTATTAACTAGAAATAAAAATTCAAAAAGAGACAAAAGACCATTGAAAATGTGTATGAATTAATACTTGTTTGTTGTACTAGTGACGAAATTTTCTTAATTTCTAACCATGATTACAATAAAGTATCAATCAAAACAAGTTAGAACTGGAGCCAACTCTAGAACAACAGATTTTTCAATTATAAAGTGAATAAAAGTAAAAATGATTAAAATTCAAAGAGAAAATAAACTTTAAGGTTAGTAAAAAGTTATTTACAAAACTAAATTCATGCATCTTTTTTAAAAGAAAACTAATTTTAATTTGCTTTTGAGTTAATATTATTTTTCTAGCAACATCATTTAAATAATAAAACATAACAAAGATGCAGAAAAGAAGTATGTATTCATATTTCACAAAAAAATACCTCATTAAATTTTTAGAAAGCCGTGATGGATCAGTAGATAGAGTGCTCGACTTCCAATGAAGTGAGCTAGGTTCAAATCCTAGCAACGGGTGGTCGATACGAATTTCGCATCCAGCTTGCACCAACCACAATGCTGACGTGAAATATCCTCAGTGGCTGATGGATCATGTGTTAGATACCCTTGCCGTCAGGCTAACTGTGGGAGGTTTTTCTCTCAATGTAAAGGACATACTGGCTATTTCTATCAAAAAAGTCTCCACGAAGGCAAATTTCTTCTAATATTTGATGCAAGAGTTCCCTTGTCATCTGGATTAGGTTCAAAATTACAAGGTTACAGAGTTGAACATTAGTTGTTGTAAATTGGGTCGGCTGTTCAACGATGGTTATAAAAATTAATTTTTAGCAAAAAAATATGACACTTAAATTTATGATGAAAAGATAAATTCTCTTATAAAAGATCAAGCAATTATTACAAAATTAAAAAACAAAATTAAATATTACTATGTTTTGAATAGGCCTCAGATCTTTCACTTCAAAAACAAGTCTCTTTAATCTCTCTACGCCCAAAACTGTTATAAAAATCACTCATTTCCAAACATTGTATCATATGTTTCTCTAGATAGATTCCTATGCTTCCAGCTTGATCACAACAAGTATTAAACAAAGTTTTCCTCTTTGCTGGTTTGTGGTTTCAAATCAATATACTGATAAATACAAAATACAGGAAACACAAAGGCACCCAGTACTTATCAGCTGTATATTTTTAACAATTACACTTGTACTATTTTAAAAATAAAATTTGGAAAAATCAGCAATACCAACAGCAGGCTAAGCTTAAACAGCATTGCATACTGACACAAAAACGAAACAAATAAAGGACATAAAAAAATGTTAATAGCCTCAGTAATGAGCGCTACTCATTTTATAATAAATCCATGTCGTAACAGAGACAATAATATCTATTACAAAATTAAAAATAATGTCGATTTGAAAACAGAAATAATGGCCCTCAGCAGCAAAAGTTTGCAGAATATTTAATAATTTACACTATTAGTATTTTAGTTGGACCAGGTATTATATTACAGGGTAAAAGTGTACTCTACCAGAGGAAATAATTATAGGTCAATTAGGGGGTACACAGCGTGACCCTAAAGTTTACTACGTATGCCAATGTGAAATAAAGTGTTCTGAGAAGCTTAAAATGATGAAAAAAGACTTCTAAAATGCTTTAAAAATTCAAAGCCATCTTTCAATGGTTAACTAACGCACCTATAATATTTTAGTTGGACCAGGAATTATATTGCAGGGTAATAGTGTACCCTACCACGGGAAATAATTATAGGACTATTAGGGGATACACAATGAGTTCCTGTATTTTACTATGTGTGCGTATCTAAAATAAGTGTTCGAAAGAGCTTAAAAAGAGGAAATTCGAATTCTTAAACCCTTTAAAGATAGGAAGCGCGAAGTGCCTCTTCACTGTTAACCCGATTTCGGACCTTAATATTTACCTATAATATTTAAGTTGGACCACATACTATATTACAGGGTAATAGTGTACCCTACCACGGGAAAAAATTATAGGTGAATTATGGGGTACACTCTGTATATTTTAAATAGTGCATTAAAACAAGGAAATTCGAAGACACTTTTCAATGTTAACTAATGGCACGGTAACGGACCTTAATATTGACCTATAATGCTTTAATTGGACCAGGTATTATATTACAGGGTAATAGTGTACCCTACCACAGGAAATAATTATACGTGTATTAGGGGGTACACTATGTATATTTTAAATAGTGCATTAAAACAAGGTAATTCGAAGACACTTTTCAATGCTAACAAACGGCACGATATCTGAACTTAAAATTGACTTAATTCACTATTGCTCAAAACGAGGAAATTCCGTTCTAAAACCCTTTAAATATAGGAAGGTCGAAGTCACTTTCCAATGTTAACGTAAAACCGGATTTCGGTCCTTAATATTGACCCATAATATTTAAATTGGACCACATATTATATTACAGGGTAATAGTGTACCCTACCACAGGAAATAATTATAGGTCAATTAGGGGGTACACAGCGTGACCCTAAACTTTACTATGTATGCCTATGTGAAATTAAGTGTTTTGAGAAGCTTAAAATGATGAAATAAGACTTCTAAAATGCTTTAAAAATTCAAACACATCTTTCAATGGTTAACTAACGCAAGGCGCGATATCAGACCTTAATATGGACCTAAAATATTTCAGTTGGAGCAGGAATTATATTACAGGGTAATAGTGTACCCAAAAACGGGAAATAATTATAGGTCAATCAGGGGGTACACAATGAGTTCCTGTATTTCACTACGTGTGCGTATCTAAAATAAGTGTTCGAAAGAGCTTAAAATGAGAAAATTCGAATTCTAAAACCCGTTAAAGATAGGAAGCGCTAAGTTCCTCTTCACTGTTAGCCCGATTTCGGACCTTAATATTGACCTATAATATTTAAGTTGGACCACATATTATATTACAGGGTAATAGTGTACCTACCACGGGAAATAATTATAGGTCGTCTTGCGTTAGTTAACCATTGAAAGATGTCTTTGAATTTTTAAAGCATTTTAGAAGTCATATTTCATCATTTTAAGCTTCTCAGAACACTTTATTTCACATAGGCATACATAGTAAACTTTAGGGTCACGTTGTGTACCCCCTAATTGACCTATAACTATTTCCTGAGGTAGGGTACACAATTACCCTGTAATATAATACCTGGTACATCTTAAATATTATAGGTCAATATTAAGGTCTGATATCGCGCCTTGCGTTAGTTAACCATTGAAAGATGTCTTTGAATTTTTAAAGCATTTTAGAAGTCTTATTTCTTCATTTTAAGCTTCTCAGAACACTTTATTTCACATAGGCATACATAGTAAACTTTAGGGTCACGCTGTGTGCCCCCTAATTGACCTATAATTATTTCCTGTAGAAGTGTACACTATTACCCTGTAATATAATACCTGGACCAACTAAAATATTATAGGTCAATATTAAGGTCCCTTACCGTGCCGTTAGTTAACATTGAGAAGTGTCTTCGAAATTCCTTGTTTTAATGCACTATTTAAAATATACATAGTGCACCCCCTAATTGACCTATAATTATTTCCCGTGGTAGGGTACACTAATTCCCTGTAATATAATATGTGGTTAAACTTAAATACTGTAGGTCAATATTAAGGTCCGAAATCGGGCTAACAGTGAAGAAGGACTTCGCGCTTAATATCTTTAAAGGGTTTTAGAAGGCGAATTTCCTCATTTTAAGCGCTTCCGAACACCTTTTTTAGATACGCACACATAGTAAAATACAGGAAATCATTGTGGACTACTTAATTGACCTATAATTATTTCCCGTGGTAGGGTACATTATTACCCTGAAATATAATACCTTGTTCAACTAAAATATTATAGGTCAATATTAAGGTCCGATACCGTGCCGTTAGTAACATATAAAAATTTCTTTGAATTTTTAAAGCTTTTTAGAAGGCTTATTTCTTCATTTTAAGCTTCTCAGAACACTCTATTTCACATAGGCATACATAGTAAACTTTAGGGTCACACTGTGTACCCCCTAATTGACCTATAATTATTTCCTGTGGTAGGGTACACTATTACCCTGTAATATAATTCCTGGTCCAATTAAAATATTATATGTCAATATTAAGGTCCGATACCGTGCCGTTAGTTATCATTGAAAAGTGTCTTTGAATTTTTAAAGCTTTTTAGAAGGCTTATTTAAACGGCTTTGTTAACGGTACGGTATCGGACCTTAATATTGACCTATAATATTTTAGTTGGACCATGTATTATTTTACAGGGTAATAGTGTACCTTTCCACGGGAAATAATTATTGGTCAATTAAGGGGTACACAATGAGTTCCTGTATTTTACTATGGGTGCGTATCTAAAATAAGTGTTCGGAAGAGCTTGAAATGAGGAAATTCGCCTTCTAAATCCCTTTAAAGATAAGAAGCGTGAAGTTAGAAGCGTGAAATCGGGCTTCGCTGTTAGCCCGATTTCGGACCTTAATATTGACCTATAGTGTTTAAGTTTATCCACATATT